TGTTTGAAGCCGGGCCCGGAGCCGGTCTTGGTCCGATATTGAAGTTTCTCTTGCGCCTTTAACCCGAGTACGGATACAGTGTATTCCTACTCGCATCAGATTCCATACCGCCTTGCGTCACTGGCAGTCCTCACCGGGTGCTGTCGTTTATTCCCGGTCTTCATCTACGCATAATCTCTCACCTTTTCTCCCCTTTGCTGCCTTAACTACTTCTTCTCCCATCCCCCCATCTCCGTGCTCATATTACTCAATCCTTCAGCTCATGTTTATTGCTCCAAGATCGTTCAGATTCTCAGGACAAATACTCAGAGTCCCACACGCGACTCTACCCCAAAACATACGTTTCTTTACTTCGGGTTCCTTGCATACAACCTTCGCCTTACTTCGGCCTCAGATCCAAGCAAGATCTGTTGTTTTAGCGTCAGATCTCGTGTCTCGACGTCAAATTCGTCCTACGTTCCACCCCAAGGCCTTTGCTACGATGGGCTCGCTCCCCGAATCATCCAACGCCGTGCGCATTCTCATCCTTGGGGGTTGCTATGGTGGTCTATCTGCTGCTGTTAACTTGCTTGATCTGAGCCAAGGATACTCTCCCCGCATGAATTCCGAGCCATACATCCACCATCCTGATGTTCCTCGCTTCAACATTGATATCACTATCGTCGATGAGAGAGATGGCTACTGTAAGTACTCTACAGTCCAACTGGACTAAGCGATATGATAAATGCTGGGCCCTGACAGTATCGTAGACCATTTGATCGGCTCCCCATTGGCTCTTGCTGATTCTAACTTCTCCAAGAAGAACTGGGTCAAGTACTCTGATATCCCTGGCCTCAAAGACCCCAGCATCAACATCATCCAAGGCTCCGTTACCAGTGTCGACCCTGCAACCAAGAAGGCGACCATCTCTGCTCACCTCACCAAGGACAAGAGTACTCTTGAGTACGACTACCTCGTCTCTGCTACTGGTCTACGTCGCGTCTGGCCGGTTGTGCCTCAGTCAAAGACACGAAAGCAATATCTCCTTGAAGCTGAGAACCACATCACCTCTGTTCATAATGCTAAGTGTGGCGTTGTGGTCGTTGGTGGAGGCGCTGTTGGCATCGAGATGGCTGCGGAGCTGAAAATGGTGAAGCCTCACCTCAAGGTGACTCTCGTTCACTCGCGTGACAAGCTCCTTTCTTCAGAAGGTCTTCCTGACGAGACCAAGGATGTGGCTCTTCAGTTACTCCGTGAGGCTGGCGTTGAGGTTCTCATGAACCATCGTCTAGCTGCAAACAACAAGGTCGAGACGACCGACGCGAGTGAGAAGTATGAGATTGAGTTTACCAACGGCCATAAGATGTTCGCAAGCGAGGTTATCATGGCAATTTCCAGGAGTGTTCCAACCTCAACATACTTGCCCACATCTGCCCTCGATGCGGATGGTCTTGTCAAGATCAAGCCCAAGTAAGCCAATTATCTCCTGACTCGAAATTCCACGTTGCTGACTCGTGCATAGTCTGCAGTTCCAGGACGGCACACCCAACGCCGAGTCGCACTATGCTGCTGGCGATATCACCAACTGGCCCGGTATCAAGCGGTGTGGCGGTGCCATGCATCACGGCCACTACGTAGCACAGAACATCCATCAAAGCATCCTCAGCCAACGAGCAGGTCATACCCCAGAGTTCAAGGAGCTTGTGGTATACCCTCCTGTGATTGGGCTCGCAGTTGGAAAGAAGGCTGTAGCATCGAGCCCCGACACAGGCACTGTTTATGGCGAGGAAGTTGCTCAGTCTTGCTTTCGAGATGATCTTGGTTGGACGAGTAAGTTGCACGGGACCTTGATATGTTTCTTGAGATGGCTGACCTGAGTTGATAGTTTGCTGGAACTACATGCAGCTCGGTGGACGCAAGACTGACGAGGCTAAGGCTTAATGGGAAACGATCTTAGTGACTGGCGTTCGGGATATAATCTTTTAGACATGCTACCGAGTATGAGCGACAGCCTTGCGTTGTCTTGAGTGTATTATTTACTTCTTCTTGATACCTAGTATCTGAGTTAAAGCTCTGATCCTATGTTTATATAGTGAGAAATTGTTCAAATCCTGTTCACGAACAGCTGGATCCATCTAGCATGAGATTGACCTTAATGGGACCCTGAAGTGGTAAGAGTCGCAGTCGTTGTCATTAAGCTACTTTAATTTTGCCCGCAGCTACTATGCCGGTTGATATTCACAATTTAAACTCATGGATCAAATGTTTTCCTTGACTCCCTTACGTCCTTCACCGCCAGGTTTTTTTGACAGGCGAGACAAGAGTAAGGACAAAGACTACAATTCTAACAACCAGCGAATTTTATGAATCGGCACATTCTGATTTAGTTAATTGTACATATTTCAGACTCTAAGGCATATGAGAAGAGAGACCTCACATTCTTGCAAGTCAATTTGAGCTGCTCGACATTTCTCTCCCTGTTGGGCTGACCAAGAAAGGCGATCGGCCGAACTGCAGAAGAAATAGACACACTAATACCTCCACTGTTGGAGAGTATATAAAAAAAACTGGCGATAAGAGTAGGTTGAAATGGATTAACAGCACATCTAGCGATCACGGTTCTGCACGACAATGGCGTCCATGTTCCATTAAAGGGCCTAGGATCTGTGCATTTCAACATAATTAATATGCGTACTAATAGGTTAAAACTTTGTCACTGGACCTAGGATGCGTTTGGAACTAAATAAGTAGTTTGTAAGTCCTGGACTGTTACATCTCAGCCTCAAGCCCACGGCATATCCTTATGGTAGATATGCTACTCCTTTGGCTCTCCCGTCCTCTAAAACACCCAGTCTTATTCGAATCTACAGATTCACCGAGAAGTCTGGTTCTTTCGAAAGATTGTTCTATTTCCAGGCGTGATGAACTAATGGCATAATACATGCAGAGGACGCAAGAAAGTGGCAGTTCATAGTAAACAATTAGCATTGAGGAAGCCGGGGTTTCCGTTCATTCCATGATAGACTTGTGCTGCCGTAGACTTCAACGCCATTAGAGCAGACTACATTAGCATGTAGAGTTCTAGCGTATAAGCTTACAAAGATGAGTGAATAGGTTGTGATGTGAGTGTTAATATATGAGTCAAGAATTCTAGAAAGTACGAGTTTTTAGATGTCTCGAGATAAGAGAGCGATCTGCAAGGGGCCACTATGTCAGATGCAAGGTACTTGACGGTTTATATGTATCACATTATGCCATAGGTAGTCTACCCTCGACACCAACATAGTTCTCGTGCACTACTGTCATCTCAGCATTGGCAATCAGACTTTCAAGATTTTTGGCCAACTAGTTGTCTGTCAAGCCTAGGTTGGTTTGAAGAGAAGCTGAAAGAATCAAATTCAGGGTCTTTGACATTGTTAGACTTGAAAGAAGCCAAAGTGAAGCATTATTCGAAGTCTTGGTACATGTGGTGGTAGAAACAAAAACACCAAAGTTTAGATCATCGGCCTCTGCATGCAAGACTATGGACATAGCCATTAAGGTTCAGAACACACACGTCATGAATCGCTTTATACATCTCATTCCGTGCCGTATTCCGAGTATGGTGTCTCGGGTTACCTTCGCTCAAGGAACACCAAGAATGAGGACGAAAAGCGGAGAAGCCGGACGAGATCGACATTCGACAGTTCTAACCAAGGATTCGTTATACCCATGTTCATCGCTATGTATGTACTATACTCCGGATGAAAAGGATCAGTGATTGCATGTGATTAACAGCTGATCACCGGGAATAAGCATTCAGGTCTCAGACATGATCATCTTCCATCTTGCAGTGAAGAGGGTCTTGCGTATCTGTATGAGCGATTCAGATCAGATTTGATTGATAAGATTGGATCGGACATCCCCTCGCTCAATTGTCTGTTCGTCCGTGCATGGCCTCTTCGTACAGTACCTGGCTACCGGGCTGCCAACCAGTCTTAACGTGCATGCTGCAAAGTCAAAGTATCGGCCAAGTTGACAGATGAGCGGCGATCGACAAGTAACTGACGCACGAACACCTCCATCACTATTGACACATATCGACAGAATTGAGAACCTGTTACTTACATGCCTTATAAGAAGTGCTGGGTCTTTTTCGAGCTCATGGCTGTTCGCAGACTTGAGTGGCTTAAGCATACACCACAAAACTGGTGGAAAACGGCCCTATGTCCTTGACTGGTGCTGCAATATCTATGCCTGCTGCGTGTCTTGGACCGCTGAGAACAGACAATGTCCCCGGAACAGAGGTTCCAGGTACACTCGGTCTTGAGGCATTCATCAGGCCATTCTTTTCATTAAAGCCTTTGGAGCCGGCTTTTACAAGGATCATGAAGCCGGCACTCCCCACCACCAGTGGTCAACTGGTGAGCCTGCCTAGCCTGCAGAACCTTTAGCGTGGTTGAGCGGTTTATCAGATCCTGCTAGTCTTTCCAAGCGGTCAAAATCGGCAATACCTAGACCCTGATCCTGGGAATAGGTAAACAGCTCCGAGGACCGGAAAAAGAAAAAGAGGAGGGGCGTGTGCAGGCAAAAAGGAACAAGTTGGGCGTCAGGGGTGGCTGGTCTTGAGTTATCAGATCCGCTCTGACCCACACGATAATCTTGACCCTGAGCAGAGTTGGTTTGCACAACTCACAGTAGGGGATCTTCGGGATCTGGCTGCCATACGGCTTGGCAAGCCAAGTCCACTTCTGCGTCCTTGACGTCGTCTCGAAAATACCACTAGTCTTTCATTGCACCAAAGCCGAGAAAGTTGTGCAATGGCCTGGAAAGTTGCGGGATTGATGGGTACGCCATCCATGCAGAATGCTGTCCCAAGGTGTCAAGCTTGTTCCGAAGTGGACGGCCGGCATGGATACCTTCTCCCACTTATGCAGCCTGGTATCCTGGTGTGAATAGCTTCTTGAGCGTGTCCAACCTTTTCATCCTTTTCCAACCCTTCTCGCAAGTATCCAATCTTTAATCCCTGAACCCTTTGAACAATGTCAGCGCCAAAAGGAACGTTCTCAGCCCTCAAAGCTGGCGAAACTGTCGTCAAGCTTCCTCATCCCTACCAGACCGAGTTTGCGATCGAAAAAGTCTCGGCACAGCCTGACACGAATGCGCCAGCCTATAAACTTGTCCAGAAAGCTCCTGGATCTGACAAGCGTTTGCCATTTGATCTTTACAACGATGGCCTCGTCTTCTCAGACCCAATTGATCTGAAGTCGAGTGAGCTTCCACCTCAATCCAACAACAGTCCTTGGGCTCGGGCACGCCGTTCACCATGTGTTACCATTCATTGGGCTGGCACCGAGGCGCCAGGCTTGGGTCAAGTCTGGCTACTTGCATATGCACTTTTCACTTTGAGAACAACAGTGGAATCATATCGGCTGGAATTACATGGAGCTGGGGCCGCTATTCTGGGCCAACAACTCACAGCAGTGTTGCTTGCCATTGACCACCCTCTCAAGGGCCGAGAGAAGCGCCAAACTTCCAACAAGACTGACGAGAGCCTCGTCCTTGTCTTGCGAAGTACCTTTTGGCAAGGCGCTGGATCGCCATTTGGACCTCGACCTGTTTGGTGTCCAGAAGAATCGCCTTCTTCTCTGCCCGCCTCGACCCCTCTTGGATCATTCCCTTTGACTCCTTTACACAACACAACGACAATCACAGTCGCTGGAGATCCTGACGATCCCGAGAGAGTTCAGCAGTCATGGCACCCAGTCAGACCAGCCAAGCCCGCGCCTGGGGCTATTGTTTACAGCCGATGGATTCCTCATCTCAATGAGACCTTCTCCATGGTGTCAGTCGATCATAATGATACCGAGCACGTACAACTCTTTCATGAATGGCAGAACGATCCTCGTGTTTCCCAAGGATGGAGCCAGACTGGAACGTTGGAGCAACACCAGGAGTATTTGCGTCAGGTGCATGATGATCCGCATGTAATTGCGCTTCTAGCCAAGTGGGATGATATCCACTTTGCGTATTTCGAGGTCTATTGGGCCAAGGTATGTTCACGTATGTCTTTCTTTTTGCTACTTTTCTGACGATGTCGTTTAATAGGAGGATCGGCTGGGTGGCTACTTCAACGCTGGTGACTTCGATCGCGGTCGACATTCCCTTGTAGGTGACGTGCGATTCCGCGGGCCACATCGTGTGTCGGCGTGGTGGAGCAGCTTGATGCACTACCTCTATCTCGACGACCCGCGTACTATGTATGTTGTTGGTGAGTCTCAGGAGACCAACACAACTATTGTTATGTATGACTTCGTGCATGGCTCAGGCCTAGACAAACTTGTCGATCTGCCGCATCAGCGCAGCGCTTTCGTCCGATCGTCGCGAGAGCGCTTCTTCCAGCTGTGTCCACTGGCAGACAACGAGAAGGTTGTTGCTGGCACAAAGCTTGGTCTTGTGCCTAAGCTATGAGTGTCGAACAAGATATGACGGCGGACATGATAGGTTTATAGTAAATACTGGTACCTTAGTTTGAGATATTCGGGGCAGCAATAAAAAGTTCATGCTTGCTTAGATCACATGTCTTGAGATGTGCTAATCTCAAATTACCTACCTATGTATGCTTGGGATGGAAAGAGTTGCCTGCAAGGTAAGGTTGGGTTTTTGTGTGCATAATAATTAGTAGGTAAGGACTGACGAGAAACAAAACGGCAGGTGTTGGGTGTCTGACCAGCTACCTACTGGTACTTTCCATTTATATCTATAATAGCCTTTTCTCATATTTCCTTCGGTTCTAAACTTTTATCTTCCAAACTTCAAGTTGATAATAATCGCATCACGCTTCAAAACATACGCATCATCTAATCCATCGCTTGAACTCGATCAGTCCTGTCCACTAACTTAGTGTCTACTCCACACTACAGCTTCGCAGCTACCTCATGCTTTCGGAGAAGCTCATCGCCCAGCTTAGCCATCTCGAACTTACGCACTTTACCACTTCCTGTCAGAGGAACCGTTGCAGGAACATCGCCATCGCCCAGCCAGAAGACGTGTGCAGGCGATTTATGGCCACCGAGCCTCTTGCGACACCAGTCCCTGATCTCCTCGAATTGGGGCTTCTGGTGGCCTTCAGCCAACTCAACAAACGCGCCTACGACTTCACCATAATGCTTGTTCTTAAGGCCGACGACAATGGCACGTGTTATAGCAGGATGATCCATCAGACGCTCCTCAATTTCGAGCGGGTAGATGTTCTCACCACCTGTTGAAGCGGGGTTAGTCAAGCATTCCGTACTGCCAAGCCTGATGTACTTGACTCACCTCTGATGATAATATCCTTAAAGCGCCCAGTAATCGAACAGTACCCATTTTCGTCGAAAACAGCTTCATCACCAGTATGCAGCCATAGGACACCAGCAGCATCGCGGATCATAGTCTCGTTGGTCTTCTCTGAGTTGTTCCAGTAACCAGCCTGTAGCTGGTAACCGCCAATACAAAGTTCACCACGCTCACCGACAGGTACAATATTGCCATCACGGTCAACGATCTTGGCCTTTGCATGAGGCATCAAAGTACCGACAGTCGTCAATCGTGTGTCAATGGAATCGTCAGTGAAGGCATTGAAGCATGTTGGGGAAGCCTCCGTCAAGCCGTAACTGCTAGTGAACTCTGTCATTCCGAAACGGTTTACCAAGAGTTCCATAAGGTACCGAGGAACAGGTGCACCAGCAATGATACCAGTACGCAGATTGTCGCAGTTGAAGTTCTCGGGCCATTTTGCTTGAAAAAGCGAGTCAAACATGGCTGGAACACCATGAACGGCAGTGCATTGTTCATCAGAAATAGCCTTGAGCGTTGCGTCAATATCGAAGACCTCCGCCGGATACACGATTTTACCGCCGTGAGTGACAACAGCAAGAAGACCGAGCACCAGGCCAAAGCAATGGAACAGCGGTGGAGGGCAGCACAAAACATCCGCAGGACCAAGCCGCATGCGATCACCAATAAAGCGTGAATTATTTACCAGGTTGCTATAAATTCGTTAGCTTAGAGGTCGAAAAGTCGGCATCGCACCAAGCTAACACATTGCTCAGAGGAATTCATGGGTCACTTACTGGTGGGTGAGCATTGCAGCTTTGGGCAATCCTGTCGTTCCGCTTGTGAATTGAAGATTGACCACTTGATGAGGAAGCACCTTGGTCATGGCTTGATACAGTCTTTGGTGGTTTCGCCTGCGACCAGCATTCACCAATTCGTCATAGGTCTGGTATTTACCAGACTCATCTCCTCTTAGCATCACGACCATGGGGGCTGTCTTCTTATTCTCAAGCTGCTGCAGTAGCTGCGTCTGGTCGAGTCTTCCGATCCTTGGTGTTGTGAAGAAAATTTTGCTGTCAGAAAACTTCAACCCATACATCGCTTCAGTTGGTGTGTATGTGTTATTCAGGATGACAAGGATAGCACCGATTTTGGCCACCGCGAAGAAGACAGCCGCATATTGTTCACAGTTGCCTGCCATGATGGCAACACGATCGCCAACTCCAATTCCCATGTTCAATAACGATTGCGCCAGAGATGAGCTTTGTTGGCTGAGCTCATTGTATGTCCAGCGGGCGCCAGTCCAGGGAATCACCAGACATTCTTGGTTGCCGTGTTGATATGTCTGAAGCTCAAGAAGCTCACCCAACGTCAAATCAACCAGTGGAGGATCGACGGGGCCCTCAAGGATAGAGAGCTTCTGTTGTTGCCGCGATGGAGCGGAAGGTATATTCGTAGTTTCGGTCGCCATGATGAGTGTGGATGAAGTTTGGAACTGACAAAATCACATGGGAACTTGGGAGAAACACGACGAGATCTGTAAAGAAAGCAGTCCCCGAGAGAGAAAAACAGCAGTAGATGCTGATCAAGGGTTCTCCCTTGCAATAATATGCATTCTCAAGCTCAAACAGACGCTATCAACCTGTACGTCCGTATTAACCCGCCATGATGTCCTGCCCCACCATCAGTGCCGTACTCCGTTCAGGCCCATGCTCCTGGATGGGGGTGACGCCAATTACGGAATCAAGTGCGTGTATAAGGAGCCAAGCAGAGCGGAAATAGACCAGGGCCGAACCGGTGCGGCAATTTTATGAGTGTTTGGTGGTGTCCAGATGGACGCCGTCTCACACTAGACATTGCCAGTTGCATCATCGCTCGCCATCATCCATTGGCGAAGTCGTCTGGAGTTTGGTGGACTCATCATCAAGGATTCCTGCTCGAGCTTCCACGCTCGTGTCAAAGTGATCAACTGCAACCTTGTGTCTCCCCTCACCCATGTTTGCAAGGGCATGGTCTCGGGTGACAAAGAACCGGGACCCTGGGGATGGTTCAGTCCTGACGGAGCTTCTATTCAGTTCCTACGCCATCCACGCACCTTTTGTGGCCACTTGCATTACTTCATCGCGTCAGGACTACTGTCCCATTTCATCGCCCTAACCCTGCGCTTGCCCCATCAAGCCCAGGCCAGCGCGAGACCAAGTTTTTTTCTAGCGGCTTCTTTTGCGTCAAGTATCTAATCTGATGATCAGATAAGATGAGTTGCCCCTCATCAGTTGTGCAGGGCTAAAGCCGGAGCTTTCTACGTCCACACCCCGTCCCGAGATCGGCTAAGAGAAGAAAATTTTTTATCTGATCGATATGGACACTCGTGAAGTTCCATCCACTTTCCGGACACCCCAGAGCGAGTACTGAAAAGTAAGCGGGACGTACGAGGCTTTGAAGGGTCGTTGTGATATACCGGTAGTCCCAAGACTTGACAAAGAAGCATAAGTAGTCAGGCAGTTGAATGGCCTAATAGTCGCCATCAATGCCACTAACCTAGGTAATTTGGTCACTTTTGGTTCTGCATCACACTAATAATCGAAAGCCCAATGCCGCGTTGGGGTCAATTATCTTCAGCCCAGAAAGACAAAACTTGGAGGGGTCTGGCGAAAGCTTTGCGACCAAAGGATACACTGAACGCCTCACAATCAGTCATTCACAGTGCTTGCGACAAGCTTCAGCCCCAACATAGGCTCCCATTTTGTTACAACACCGATCCGGTCCCATAAGGCTATATGTACAAGTCAAAGCATATGACTTTCTAACTCTCTGATGGTGGAACGATTATGCTTAATAATGTGCCATGGACATAGGACCTGTTTAAACTCAGTTGCTAATTGGCGCATAGTCTAGTCGTTGACAGTCATACCAAATGAGTGCAAAGGCCTCCTTGTTTTGAAGGGAACGAACCTTCTGCGCTGATGAGAGGCTCCGTAATTCTTTCGCTTGGACGGTTGAGTTTCGTGGAGTTCTGCCATATGACAACATGCCCTGCCCGTTCCGATGAATAATCGATAGTGTCTTCTATGGTGGCGCGTCATGTCGCTCATGACAACTACTCTGCAGACTTAATCAAAGAGGCGAGTTGCGGTTCTGTGGCCCGCCGAAATTAATTCCTCGAATGTGACTAGGAAAGACTGTAGTTCACTGGAGAGTATCAATGCCCTCCATTGTTGATGTGTATAGGTACCAATTCGCAATTCTCGCAAGGGGTCCTAACCCTCCATCATGAGATGGTGATTAAAGATAAGGCTCAAATCCAGCGCTGAAACTAGTAACAAGCCTCGGTATATTTAATCGAGTTCTAGAACTCAAGTTCGACGGCTGATGCTTCGGTCTTTCACGTCCGATGTCAGCTGTCATGATATGGACATCTCATGAGAAGGTGAGAATTTTACCCAATACAGGCACAATTCGCCGTTGTTTTTGAATAAGTCTTGGCGGCATTATCTCGTACTTCTCTATTTGCTTAACATTTTGTTGGGGACTTGTTATAGCGTTCAATGATGCTTCTCATAAGTGCCATCATGTAGGATGTGAGAAAACACGCGCATGGGGCACTACGACTCGACAAGATATTCACAAATATGATCTTCTGGTTTAGTAATCAGCTTCATTTCATTTCTTTGAACCAGTTTTCGGTACCACTACGTGCTTCTGATTTGAGTATCCCCCAATGCCCTGTCATGATGGGTGAAGGTCGTAGCAACATCAACACTAAGACAAGGATGTTATAAGGGGGGCGATGATCTGGCAGTAATAGACACTCCGAGTCAAAATGGAGTATCAGCCGTATCTTTACTTGCCAATAAAACATTCTTTCACAAAATGGTATATATTTCTCTAAATCACGAGGCTTGTGGTCTACAGAGTTATCATGTCATCCCGTACCAGTAATCACCTCTTAAACTACACTCATACATAGTTTCAATCTCACTGGTTCTTAACTTACATATGTCCAAATTTTGGTACTTAGACTATTAATCACTTCGGCTGTTACTCCTTGTTCGTGAGGATGCAATTGTGAGACAGGCCGGCAGCGTATATCGATCATCATTGCTTCACGAACAAAGGAGCATATGACGAAACAAGCTCTAAGATTAGTGACGTGG